AATCCGTGTATTGACCACCAGCTGCAATAGCAGCCGCCTAATGCTCTTCCCACCATGGCCAAGTGCTTGCTCCACAAACAAGCTAGTGCATGCTCCACCATGGAGGGTGGGGGGTTGTTCATCTTCAAAGCTGACTGCTATAAATATGTGCAGCAGCTGTTGAAGAAAGACATACANTTTTCTGAGTTTCTACTCTTTTGTTCTGCATTGTTTTAACTTCAAACAAAGCAGCTGTAAGTGTGATTTGCTACCGAACTTTGTGTTCGCTGAAACACTGGGGTTTGAAGTACCGGTACACCAGTGTGTGATTCGTTCTATCCTGGGAGGAAATAATCCATAACCTTGGGTACTAGGAGGGAATTAAATTCCTTAAGAAAACACTGTGAATTCAGTGGGCTCGAATTAATTACTATTTCATTACGATAACTTATATTTTCCAGAATTATTATTTACAAATACAGCAATATTGGCGGGACTAACAAATATAAAATAATAGGACTAGTAAATTTCTAATATTAAATTGTTAAAAAGTTTAAAAATTAAAAAAACTCTTGAGATCCTCCAATACCATTTTGCCTTTTTATTTTTATCTAATACAAATCATTAATTTTTTTAGCATTACGATAGATAATACTTCTTTCTCTTTTGTTTTTTTGGTTAAAGGAAAACATTTTATTGATAACACTAAAGCGTGACGGTAGAACTATTAGCTACATAGTCACTATCATAGATAGCGAGTACACAAAGGTTTCCAAGACTTGCCAACATATCACACATAGACACTAAAACTATTCTATTAGAGGTTAAACCCTCTTTGTGTGCTTGAACCGTTGATAACACATACTCTGAGGGAGATGCCATGACAGACAGATAATCACTTGTGGCTTGCTTGATTCCTTCCTTAGCCAGAACATGAGCTACTTTTTTCCTTGTCGGAAGCTATCAATAACACTTTGATAAGTAAGGTGCTTTTGTTCCAAAGCATTTATAGCCTCAATGGAGTCTATTCTATCTATCCTCAAATTTAATTATTATTTTTAAGTTAGAAATTAAATATAAAAAGTGTCCAAACATTATATAAAAGTCATAGTTTGGGAAGAAAAAGGAAAAATGTTGTTTTGAGAATTGGGAAAGTAGTCCCAATAATTAACAACATAAAAATTACTCGCACTCAAAATATATCAAACAAATAATACAAGATATGTGTATTTCATATATAGATTTATTATTATTTTAAATTTTAACGGGTAAAACTAAGTTATTTGGTATAAATACCGGATACGAGTGGGTATTTATCATATATGCAAATAAATGTAGAGGTTATTACTTTAGGTTAATACAATATGAACATAAGTGTAAATATTCAACTTAGATAAAATAACGCATTGCCTAATTCCTATTACTAATCACAACTTGTACTGAACATATTTGTACAAAGTATAAAGCTTGAGCTATTTATGTTACATTACTTTTCACGGAGGCGACTCAGAGTATTTTTCGGTTGTTATGGGGTTACACCAAGGATCCACGCTCAGCCCATTCTTATTTGCATTGGTTATGAACACACTGACATGCCACATTCAAGGGGAGGTGCCATGGTGTATGTTATTCGCTGATGACATAGTTCTGATCGATGAGACACGAGGCGGCGTTAACGAGAGGTTGGAGGTTTGGAGACAAACCCTCGAGTCTAAGGGTTTCAAGTTGAACAGGACTAAGAGGGAATACCTAGAATGCAAGTTCGGCATGGAGCCGGGGGAAACGGGCACAGAAGTGAGGTAGTTTCAAGTACCTTGAGTCGGTTATCCAGGGGATGGGGAGATAGACGAGGATGTTACACACCATATAGGGGTGGGGTGGTTGAAATGGAGACTAGCTTCTGGAGTACTGTGTGACAAAAAAGTACATTTGTCACTCAAAGGTAAGTTTTATAGAGCGGTGGTTAGTCTGGTCATGTTGTATGGGGCTGAGTATTGGCCAGTTAAGCACTCACACATCCAGAAGATGAAAGTAGCAGAAATGAGGATGTTGAGGTGGATGTGCGGGTATACTAGGATGGATAAGATTAGGAACGAAGATATTCTGGAGAAGGTGGGCGTAGCACATATGGACGATAAGATGTGGGAAGCGAGGTTCAAATGGTTCGGGCACGTACAGAGGAGAAGCCCAGATGCTCCGTTAAGGAGATGCGAGCGGTTAGTTTTGGCGGGTACGAGGAAAGGTATAGGGCGACTTAAGAAGTATTGGGGAGAGATGATCAGACAGGACATGGCGTGGCTTCAGATTTCTGAGGACATGGCCATTGATAGGAAGGTGTGGAGGTCGAGCATTAGGGTTGTAGGTTAGGAGGTAGTTGAGCATTGTTCTTCTTTGTACAGGTGTGAGGCTAGTCTGATAGGGTTTTGGTCTTAGACTGTTAGTGGTTCATGTTGTGTTCACACTATTCTACTGTTTTTCTTTGTGCCGGACCTTATCTACTGATTATTGTTAGTACTTTGCATCTATTCTCGATAGTACTGATATATTGTCTCTCTTTTCGTCTTCTTGAGCCGAGGGTTTTCCGGAAACAGTCTCTCTACTCCCTCAGGGTAGGGGTAAGGTCTGCGTACACTCTGTCATCTCCAGACCTCATTTGTGAGATTTTACTGGATCATCGTTGTTGTTGTTGCACTTTTCATAAGGAATGATCGACTATCAGCTTTGGATTGAAAGTTTTTCGAAAATTTTGACAACATTGTGTGTGTGTTTTTTTTTTAAAACGCACTATTTCTCGAATTTTAAATCATAATACCTTTTGAAAAAAATAATATTATTTCACATGAAATAGCACAAATATTATCAAAATAATTGTTCAAAAGGTAATTCAAATAACAATTTTGCCAAACGTTTTTCNGCCCCGCGTAAAAAAGAGAGAGAGACCAAAAACCAAATCCGAACACCATATCTTTGTTTGGTCTTCCATGTGATGAGAAAATGATTTTTCTACTCAATTGGCAGTGGATAGGGTGGCCATGACTACTGCATGTCCAATTTTTTGCTACAATAATTAAATTATATTTTTCAAGAAATGATTTGATAGTTTTTTTTTAACTATTATACTATTTTTAAATTTTGGTGCCTTGTCAATATTAAAGCAGTCACTTATAAGAGAAAAATTGTCTTGTACTCTAAGGCTAAGCTACTCAGTTGGGACAATCATTCATCGCACCAACTATATCCAACAATCAATATTCCTCCTCCAAATATTAATTGGAATGACCAAACTCAATCTCTTTCCTAATTCGCAACGACTACTTGATAAAATCTTATCAATGCATTAGCTGTGTTATGGTGTGTTTGAAGAAAGAGATCTGGATTAAGAGTTTTATTAGAAGCACTTATTTATATATTTTTTCACAAAGAATTTGCTTTTTCTAAAATATATAATTTAAATGCACATAACTCTCTGTATTTTTTAAGCTGACGCATGGCTCGAAGTGATGGGTAATGAGTGTGCTCCTCTTGCTACACTACTTAAATATGTACCAAAATTTGCTACTCGTAATATGTGTCTAATTAATACATCATGTATGATGTTTTTACCACTGAATCAAAGACTTATTAAGTAATTTAAATACAGAGAGTTATGCACGTATATCCATGCGATTCAAATTAATTTGCATGGATGTTAATTGGAAATGTATCTGTAATATTCCAACTGTGTATACGTTTGAGTCTTGGATTTCTCTTGCTGCTTCAAGTGGATTAATGTTCATAAACCCCGAGTTTTGCTGTATTACCTCCTTTCCTTTCCTTTCCTTTTTCTTTTAAAAAAATCCTTCTTTTAATATTTAAGATAAGTGACATCTTTCTTGTTTTTGAGTTATGACAAGTGGTATTTGAAAAGTAACATATTAAGGGAAGGAAAGTGTAAGAAAGGGAAACGAACGAGAGACAAAAAGGAAGTCTAATTGTTCCCTTGATGCGAAGAAAAAAATATTTGCGCGCATACTTTTTCTTCACATTTAGTGATACGGTATAAACCCAAGAAATAACTTTTTCTCATTTCTTTTTCTCATCTCTCTATTAAAAGTTTGAAACTAAGATTTTTTATTTTCGTTTTTCGACCCAAGCAAAAGGGGTTTCAATTCAATTATCAACTTTACTGGACATAGAAGCATTCAAGTCAAGCTAAACTAAATGCATCTAAAGAATGGCTCAAGCTCCAACAAATGCACCTAAGGAATGATTATTGGTTGGTGATTTTGCAAGGTGAGTCCCTCCCTCTAAGCACGTATAGCTGACATGAAACTCATAAGCCAAAAAAAAGAAGCAATAATAACCAATGGATAATGACTTTCGTCGTACCAAAATTCAAAATACAATAGGTGAAAAAGTAGCCTCAATCTCAAATGCCTCTCTCACAAACAATATCCTCATTGGTCCATCATTTCCCAATCCCAACCCTCAAACTACCTCCTCACCCCTAAAAAAAAAAAGAAGAAGAAAAATTAAAGAGAGATAAACTGAAAAAGAAAAAAAAACATTTTCAAGAAAATCTAGGGGCAAAAGGGCATATCCAAGTTGTTCTTATGACTAGGGATAGTGAAATGCCTCAACTTCCCCACTTGTTTCTTCATATATCCATCACACAAAAATGCTTTAGAAAACTTGTCCTCTATATTCCTATGCACATCATGCACAAACACATGAGTTTCTCCATTTTCTTTATTCCTTGCCATCATTCCTGCTGTATAAATTGCAGTCATTCTCCCTGGTGCATTCTCATGAAAACCTGTTGGAGCATCAACCATTATTAAATCCCATTTTATATCATAAATTTCATTAGGCAACCCTTTTAAAGCAAGTTGACACTTAGAATATCTAGGATCAGCTATAGCTGTGCAGTCTGGTTTTTTCCCTGCTTCCATTAAGACATTTGCTTCTTTCACTTTACTATCATATGTAACATGATAAGACTCTAACATGGGAAATTTCTTCTTGATTTTTTCAATCCAAATCACATCTTCGTCGAGGAAGATAGTTCGTCCTCCAAAGTTGAGTGTGTGCCACATTAGACTGTCATGGCCAAGACCAAAGACAAGGAAATTGCAAGGAGATTTCTTGTCTAAAATGTTGGATGTTATTGATATCTCGTCGAGTTTTTGTTGAGGGGTGGTGTTTGAGGTTGCGTAGTGAATGAGAGATTTGGCTACTGAAGATGGGATCTTGTTGTTACATTTTGTTGATGAACAACTTGTTGGTAAAAAAGCATGGGAAATTGAAGAAGCAGATAATAATAATGATGTATTTTCACCAGAAGATGTTAATCTTGATCTCAACACAAATAAAAGTAAGAAAGCGATGAAAACGCTTATGACAAGAAGCTTTAGGCTAAGTGAACTCTGTGTTTTAGTTTTCATGCTTGACGTGGGAGGTATACAAGTTTTGGTTAAAGCTCAGAGGTAAAGAGATATATATTGAAGATTTTGATAAAGACGAGAACTAATAAGAAAATTTTGGATGAAGTTGCTGGTAGATCTGAAGAGGTTAATGATGGCAATTTGTTAAGCCTCAAATACATGTTCTCAACAATTAATTGAACATGGACAGAACTCAAAAGGAAGGAAAATATATGTATTTATTTCCCATTCAATGACTAAGCTAATGTTTGTTATTTCTTGTTAAACGTGCTCTTTACTGTTTATATCCTATTTATGCAGTCTGTTTTTTTCCCTTTTTTTTCCCTTTCTTCCTTTAATTCATACAGTGGATTTACAACATATGGTAGATTCTTTCAGGTGTGCAAGCCGAAGCAGGGGGAGAAAGTTTTAGTCTCTCCTACTTCTGGTTTAGCAAACTATTTGGATGCTATGTTGTTGGCTATTCCAGTAGCCAAGAGAAGAGAAAGAACTCACCAGAGCTAGGATCACGCGTTCGAATCACACCCTTCTTTTTCTCAAAAACTAAGGGGGACTAGAACTCGTAAGACACCATAATCTAATTGTGACATTTTTACCACTAAATTGTCTTCTTTGGTACTCTTGAACACCATCGGTACCTGGCCAATGTAACTGCTGAATTGAGGTAAGAGCCACATAGTTACCTCATTATCTATCCATTATAATTGAATCTTCAACAACTCAAGTGAATTTCGTTAAGTGTAAGTTTACACCTAGATGACAAATATATGACTTAGTATTGGAGTAAAGAAATAATATCCTCATCAGATCCATCAGGAGTATCAGCTCAATCACCCAAAAGAAAAGAATAAAGAAAGAAAACTGAAATTAAAAATAAAAGAATAAAGAAGATATTTTCAAGAAAACCTAAGGGCAGAAGGGCATATCTAAGTTGCTCTTATGACTAGGGATAGTAAAATGCCTTAATCTCCCAACTTGTTTCTTCATATATCCATCACACAAAAATTCCCTAGAAAACTTGTCCTCTATATTCCTATTGACATCATGCACAAACACATGAGTTTCTCCATTTTCTCTATTCCTTGCCATCATTCCTGCTGTATATATCGCAGTCATTCTCCCTGGTGCATCCTCATAATAGCCTGTTGGAGCATCCACCATTATTAAATCCCACTTCATATCATAAATTTCACTAGGCAATCCTTTTAAGGCAAGTTGGCACATCGAATATCTAGGATCAGCTATAGCTGTACACTCTGGTCCTTTCCCTGCTTCTATTAAAACATTTGCTTCATTCACTTTACTATCATATGTAACATGATAAGACTCTAACATGGGAAATCTCTTCTTGATTTGCTCTATCCAAGTTTCATCTTCTTCGAGGAAGATGGTTCGCCCTCCAAAGTTGAGTGTGTGCCACATTAGGCTGTCATGGCCAAGACCGAAGACAAGGAAATTGCAAGGAGATTTCTTGTCTAAAATCTTGGATGTTACTGATATCTCTTTGAGTGTTTGTTGAGGGGTGATGGTTGAGGTTGTGTAGTGAATGAGGGATTTGGCTACTGAAGATGGGATTTTATTACATTGTGGTGATGAGCAAGTTCTTGTTTTCTTGTCTTCGGACGAAGATGAGGATCTTGGTAAAAGAGCATGAGAAATTGAAGAAACAGAAGATGAAGTTGTACTTTCGTTGGAAGATACTAATCTTGATCTCAACACAAATAGAAGTAAGAAAGCTATGAAAACACATATGAGAAGAAGCTTTAGGCTAAGTGAACTCTGTGTTTTAGGTCTCATGCTTGAGTTGGGAGTGATACAAGTTATGTTTGAAGCTAGAGAGATATATACTGAAGATTTTGATGAAGACAAGAGAACTAAGAAAATTTTGGATGAAGCAATGTAGTTTCTGCTGGTAGATCTAAAGAGGGTTTGGTGGAGAGTTTCTAAAAGTGAGGGTGGGGAGTAGTGCTGTTACCCCTACTTGATTGTGATGGAATTGTTGATATTAAGAGAATGCATGTCAATTTGTAACGGGGCTTTATTGAAGACAATAATGGTAGCATCCTTTCACCAACTAATAATCACAAACTAATCACAATTTGCTATGTTTCATCAGTGGAAAGCGACTCTATATCTGCATAGAACTTTTGTAGTACACCAGTTACTCTAGGAAAATGTTCTCTCTCTCTCTCTCTTGTTTGTTGGTTTACTTCCCTTTGGGAGGAGTGGAGCATTTCTATTGAAGAGAACTTAGCATGGTGATGATAATCCGCGTTTAAGCCCCAAAAAAAAAAAAAAAGTGAGAGAGGGAAAGAGAGAGAGATTACACTTAATGGCCGGGATGCAAGAAGAGAAAATGACCAAGTTCCGGGTACATTCCAGACTTGCTGCGGAAACAGCAGTCACATGAAGCAAGAGAAGAATCTATAGAACAGATAATTTGATGCGTTGATACTTAATGTTAGATCCTACCATCAAATTAATGTATCTTACAGGCTTGAGCATTTAATGTAGATCTGTATTCCAAGGCCAGATACTGGCTTGAGGCGTAAAGTTCCTACAAATTTGGGAAAAAAGGTTATCCTTTACATGAACTGACCAATGTATAACTGTACAAGAATCCTTCCCAAGACATACACCACCAAAAGAATTCCCCCCATAATACAACATCAAAAAAACTGCTCTCTTTTTTCATTCTAAGGGCCGTTACAGGAGAAGGTTAGGATATGATTCTGGAACTGTATAATGTGCATTCTGCATGTGAGTAAAGCATTTGTTTCTCTTGCCTCTGAGATTTTCTTAGTGAAGGATTGGTTTTTGCTTCCTTGATTCATGAAACTCTAGCATTGGCTAGTGTTCTGAACTTCATCAAAAGGTTATATCCTTTTTCCTCCTGTACAAATCACCGACCATTGCTTGTATAGTGTAAGAGCGATTCTGTTTGCCCATTGCCATTGTGTTCCTTTTTCATCTTATTTTTGTCAAGACGAGCTTTCCGGACAGCTTGCTGTATCTGTTTCTCATGCTCTTTGAGCATTTCGTCAATGTTTCCACCGGGTGGCATCAATGGTCCAGAGTAGTGGATTCGATTCTTCTTGGGAATATAACCCTACGGCAAAAAAATAAAAACAATAAGGCATTCTATCTGGATAGAACTTTACAACCGCCCTTCCCCATTACAGTATGCCTCTCTGTCTCTCTCCTTTTTCTTCTTCAGCCAAAGGGGAAAACGGAAGCTTCCTTTCTATGAGTATTTCTCCTTCATAGTATTTTTCATCTTTCTTTTTCTTTCTTAAGTTTTTGATGAGGTGCAGGATTTCAACCTTAATCCACTACTAGCCATGGGTCAAAATAACCAAGACGTAAAGCAAATTTAAAGTTCCTTACCGCTGTAGACTCCTTTCCTGTTGAATGCTTGTCCTTCTTACTGGAAGAGTCTTTCCCCAAAAGAGAGTAGGAAGAATCATTAAGCTGGTTATACTTTCCAGTCATGTGCTCTTCAGGCCACTGTGAATCCCTGCTCATATCAAATCTTGAACTACCATGAGCTGCAACTGAATTGGAGAACCTGGACAATTGAGCTGCTGCACCGTGAGGTCTGAAGGACCCACGTGCACTTAATTCTCCGAATCTTGAAGAATCAAATCCTCGTTGAGAACTCATAAGAGGGCCAAGTCCATTAATATTTGTGTTTATGGAATTTCCAGAATCACTGACTTGTGATGAATGGCCGTTATATAGAGATCCTCTGCTGGGATCAATAGGGAAACCAGAACCGCCATCCTCTTCACGACTGTACTTCTCACTAATGCTTGTGGGATTTGACAGCTGTTTCCACTTCTACATGCCACAGAAATACAGGTTATATGCAAATCTTACACAGCTTAAAGGTGAGCATACATGGTAAAATATGCTATTGGTATTTAGGGGAAAAAACCTGTATGGATGCTGGTAACTCAGCATTAGCATCAGGCGCTGGTACTGCTTTTGACTGTTTTGCGCCCTTTCTATTAGATTCAACACCAGATCCTTTGATACCTCCTCCTCGCTGCCTGAAAACAGAATATTAGCTAATTAGGAGAAATGTAGCAAATGGTCAGTCCAATGAGAACAAAAAATGCTCTACAGTTCAAGCAAGTGTATTGAATAAATATTGGCTATCAGCAACAAGTGGTAAAAGTCCTTTTGAGTCAACTGCAGCAATATAAACTCTTTGATTTGGTTCTTTATCCCTAGGGGAAAAAAAACAGTTCGATGATTTTGGTAAATTATGGTTGAAAACCAGGCAGGAAACCTGAACGCCTGCAGAATAGCAAAATGCAATCTGGACACCTTTGCTTGGGCAAAGAAAAAGTTACTAGACCTGGTTTTATAGTAAGAACTTAGAGATGTCAAATCGCCAATACACAGAAAAATGAAAATACAACAAGGCATTCTACTTTTTTTTCTCGATGAAGAAATAAATTTTATTGGTTGAATTGGGAAAACCACCACATGCAAATTTATACAAAAAGTAGAGAATCATCATCTACAAAACATCCTTAAGGACAAGATCAGATTAAATAAAGCATATGTAGTTAAAAGATATTGTATGTCAATAAATCTACTAGTTTTACGAAAAGGAAAAAATAGATAATGAGTACCTTCTTGCTTCCTCTTCTCTCATCTTAGCGTCAAATTCCTTGCTTGGAGGATACTTGGGTAAAGATGACGGATCACAAGGAAGAGGCTTCGTTGTGAAGAACTGGAACAGAGAACCCAAACAATATAATTATATAAACAGCGTCAACGAAATAAAGAAGAGGCAAAAAACCATAAGCAGAAAATCAAAGCAATAAGAGAACATTCTTCACTGTGCTTAGCAGTCAGATAACTGTATATACATGATTCGTAACCAAAACTACATCATACAACATTTTACTAGCGCTATGCATAGAAACAATCCGATATAACGAAGACAAGACCGTGAGTTCCCAGAAAGGGGAAAAGATTGCTAATATGGCAAGAAAAGTCTGAATGAGTTGACTTCCTGATTTGAGGGTGTAAAAAGCTTTCTGAACTGATAAAACAAGTTATTGATCGTTCAGAAACTAAGCTTTACCTCACTTTGAAGTGCCAAAGTAGCAGAACCCCGATACTCAGGTTCAAAAGCCAGGAGAGAATCCAAAAGTGCTAAAGCTGATACAGGGAAGTCCTTGAACGTGTTGGCAAGGCAGCGCTTATATGGCTGTTGAGGTTTAAAGATCGTTGCATGTGGCAATTTTGATTTCTTCCAGTATTCTTCGGATGGTGAACCGCAAAGTTTAAAGATCTTATGCAGCTGTTCCACCTGCAACAGCTTATACAATGAGTCATTCATTTCCTGACCCACAAGGGATGCTGACCAGGAGACAATCACAAGCCCACGCACACCCCCTTTTCTAAAACACATTTACAGATGCACATCGGATAGGCACACAATGAGAATAGATGCACCAAGAGAAATGATAAGCTATAATACAGAGAAATGCACTTTTTGTGTGTTTAAATGTAGAATGGTGTACAATGCAGTTAGCAAAATGCAGAAGCGACTAATACATTTCTTTCTTTGGTAAAGTGAGACTAGTGCATTTTGTATGAGTAACTTGCAAGCGTATTATAATTCATATTGTTTTGATATAAGAGATTTTGATAGAAAAGGTGATAACGCTTTTTTGGGGAAGGTCTAGAAAGAGTAGCCTTGGAGATCCATCACTATTACCATCCTAAGTCCAAAAGTGCTCAAAGGCGAAAACAATGTTCATCTAAAAGAAATTGTTGCTAGACTAACAATTATATGGTGCGCTCAAGTGGCTGGACCTAAAGAGCAAAAGTTAAGAAAATTCCTTATTGTTCATCAGCAATACAGTAGCATGTGGCATTAGAAACTTGACAATCAAGATCACACATGGAAACATATTCCTAATATGGGTAAAAAATACTAGGTTGATGTTCTTCAGAAGTATCACTTCAATCAAGAGATATGATAGATGAAAGGTGCAGTATGAACTTCGCTCGCCGGCTCGCCCTAATATGTGCTTAGGTTCTTCGTTCTCTTTTTTCTTTTTGATTGGTAGGTTCTTAGTCAGTTATTAACAAGAAAAGATATATCAGTCTATTCTTATTTATAACCAAATACACAAAACAAATCAGTGACTTTAGCCATACCTCAGTTCTTCCTGGCATTATAGGCTTCCCTGCAAACAATTCAGCAAGGATGCAACCAGAACTCCACAAATCTACAGCCACTCCATAATCTGTAGCACCAAGCAAAAGTTCAGGAGGTCGATACCACAAAGTAACTACACGACTTGTTAGAGGCTGCCTTTGATTGTTTTGATATAAAGTTGCAAGCCCAAAATCGCCAATCTTGAGGTTCCCATTATTGTCAATCAGAAGATTCGAACCCTTAATATCTCGGTGCAGGACACCACGACTATGGCAGTGTTCAAGTCCACGAAGCAGCTGCCGCATGTAACATTTAATCTGCAAAATTACAGGAAGCATTTTTTGAAACCAAAGAGGGCAGCAGATTTGCAACCACCATATGTAACCAGAAACATGTAGACAAAAAAATCAGACAAACTAAGACAATTTTGGTGAGCAACATACATCTCCAATATTTCTTGCCCCAGACCCAACCGCATTGGGAAAAGGGCCAGATATACCCTTCTACTTTTAAATATTGTTACATTTGACCTCCGTTATACTTTGGGAGCAAAAATACCTCTGCCGTTACAATCCTTATCAAATATGCCCCTATCTCTAACAGAGATCCACTGTGGCAATGACTACAACAACAACAACAAAAAACCCAGTGTAATCCCATTGTGGCAATGACTCAGCTATTAAAATTCCACGTGGGCTAACATTTGGATGAGGTAGATGCCATGTGGCATGCCACCACGCCACTCTAACCTTATTTTGCCCACTCCCCCAACTG